TTTCAAATGGACGGTTCCCGTTAACATATTCTATGGGCACTTTTTTTCGAAGAATCTGACATACCGGAATTTCCATAACACGCTAGATGCAGAAGCTGCAGCTTACTACTTTCTTATTTCTTATAAACCCCATATTGGATTTTTTACGGAATATGAGATAGAGGATAAGAAAAGGAATTCATTTGAATGCATTACCACGATAACCATGTTGATTCAGCAAGATCTAGTTACCCGTGGATGTTTTGTTGATAAATGAATGGAAAACATTTGAATTTGAAATTTATGTGTAGAGTGTGACACGTCATCACTTTTTCTATTCTTGTCCTCTGTCCCAAAAATCCCATATGACGCCCATAAGAAATAAAAAGTAGTAGCCTGTAACTTTTACATCTAGAGTGTTATGGAAATGTTGATAACAGATTCTCCGAAAAAAAAGGGCGCATAGAAGATAATATCACAGTTATTTTCAAAGATTTTTCAAAACTTTCCAATGCGTTTTTTTAGTCATCAAAGCTGGCAACTTTGCCCCCATTTAACCTACCTACACTGTATATCTCACCGTTATTGAGATCCCAATGGTGAGCTACGTACTTGAACTACCCTGGAGCTGTGGATAGGTACGAAACTCAATCTATTTCTGTTCGGCAGTGCAATAGATAAGAGGTGGTACCTACCAAAAGGAGCGGATGATAAGATATAAAAATCTACAACATTGTAAAATACGGGAACATTTTGTCTAGGGCCGTCCCGCCGCATTTGCGAATATATATCAGAGAACTATATTATACAACTATTCTTTCTCTTTTCACACGACAATGGAGGATATATGTATGAGTTAGTAAGCAAATATACTTATTAAAGATCGAGAACCTTCAGCAAAACGGATATCACTCATGAACTTTTTCAAGAAAAAGACGATGGTGAAAATATCAAAGAGTGTCAACTTGTCAACGGGCTACAGCAGAAAAATGCATTCCATGTCTAAGTTTTTGTCGCACTGTCTATAACCTGTATACCACCTATAACATCAAAATGTACTTTACCATGTTTTCCTGACCATCTGATGCCTTACAGTTGTGAAAGGAAATTTTCGAGTGTAAAGAACTACTGCAATCCAAGATCCTCAGAACAGATTCTTTAAAAGCCATCGGCATCCACCTTTTAAAAAAATTATTGATCGGTTAACTAGGAAATGTATCCTTAATACATTTTAATTCATTAATTTTTTATATCTATATACCTCTTACGCGTATTATGAAATGTTATTCCACATTAACATCTGTCACTACTATTTTTATTTATAAAATTTTAGAATTCAAGTCCAATTACAATTAAAAAGAAAGTCTCTTTAGTTATATATTATATATTACTTTATTTTATATTATTTATATATTGTTATGTAAAGTATTTTGGTGTCAGTACCATAAGTAATGTTGGGTCACCCTGTATGTAGTAGTATATTTATATAAATCTGGTGAGTTAGTTAGGAATAAGAACGGGGTTGGTTTATTTTACTTGGCTTTGTATCTCATTGTTTGTTTTTCCTTTTAGAAATTTGTGTAGATGTGTAACTTTTCATTTTAATTTTATCGTTCTTGTAAATGGTTCAACTTAGATAAGATACGCCTGCTCAAATTTGTGTGTTTAAAAATGGTTTTATTTGGTCGTTGCGATAAGAATTGAAATACCTATATCATAGACCTGGTGTGAATCAAGAAAAGAAGGGTTTTAGAAAAATCAGTGATGCTTTGGAATAAAAAAGAACGGACATTTGTCGTTGGTAGTGACACGGGGATGCGTATAATAAATATACATATACATATTTTTGTTCATTTTTTTGTTGGATCGTGTTTTCTGCATTAAAAACGCAAATACCACCGCACACATAGATTGGAGGATGCCTTGAATCGCTTCCGTCCTAATGTCTCCACGTGAGCACCTCCAAATATCATTTCTAGGGTGCTGCAGGATATACGTCAATCCAACCGTTCTAAATTGAAACAAGTTGTAAATCGGCATATGCATGATGAAAGCGCATTTTTGGTAATGCAGATCAGTATTTCATTAGCAAAGTTTAAAATTATCGATCTCACGAGTAATCTAACTCAAAATAGACTAAAGCCTGCACATAACAGAAACGTTATAGTGAAAATTTAAAGTCTCTATCAATTGTGATTGCTGCGATCTCAGGCGGACAGCTAGCCAGCCAGCCATAACGAATATAATAGCATTTTTTTTCAAAAATGCGCTAATAATTAAGTTGTTATACTAGTAGCGCTATCTAACGGTAAAATTATAGTACCTCTGAAAGCGATATCGAAATTATTTTCTTCAATTATTATCGATCTCACAAGTAATCTAACTCAAAATAGACTAGAGCCTACACATAACAGAAACGTTTTAGTGAAAATTTAAAGTCTCTATCAATTGTGATTGCTGAGATCTCAGGCGAACAGCTAGCCAGCCAGCCATTACGAATATAATAGCGTATTTTTTTCCAAAAATGTGCTAAAAAATGACATAGATCCTGAGCACCCAGTATTAATTTATTATACAGTTTGTACAGTTTGTGTTGGAAGTTATTTTGCAAAGAGGGGCAGATAATTAAAAAAAACCGTTCGGTCTATGGCGATTTTTACCAACCTCCTCCCAATTTAGCAAAGATTTGAAAAAATGAATTTAAGACAAATAATTATCCTACGCGTTCTCAATACGAGTGGAAGACAAGCAAGGTCGTGTACATGGTAAGTAAATTATATACGTAAAGTAATAAATTAATGGAATAAAAAACCAAAAACTTTCCATTTTTCATAGTGGTCAAAGAAAAGCAGCGCCTCGTTTATTAATTGCAGGGCCTTGTTTAGTGTCTTTGCTTGCGATTTGTTTATTTGGAAAATTATCGTCTTATCTGCGATTGAAGCATTGGATAATCGGTACGAGAATCCAAGCGTTTGGGTGGGTTTTTATGAATACCATATTCGAAAACCACGACGGGAGTGAAATCTATTTAGAAAAAATGAACAGTACGAAACACTTTGAACCCAACCTGCAGACGTGAGTTGCTACACAGTTATCCGATTCAGCGAGGTTACCAGTAGTGACGACCTCAGCTGTGAAAAGGTCTATTTTATTAGTTATGCGTTTTTTATGCGAATTAGAGGTGAACTAGAACCGCGTGCGTATTTAAAGAACGGTATCAAATCAACAAATTTGTTCGTGTAAAACCTACAATAAACGTTGTAAAACCATGGACATATTTAATTCAACACTAACTTGTATATTCACTGAGATTAATCTTTAATTACTATTTTTACTATAGTTGTTTGGTTTGGTTTTTATTTTTTTTAAATTATTTTAGTTCTTTAATTTTTTTATACCAATTGTTCTACTGTTTGTAATATTTACTTGTATCGCCTCTATATTATCTTTGTTAAATGTCCTGGAATTGGAATTTGTCTTCTGTTGGGCATTAAACTATTATTATTATGTACGACTGCTTGTTAATGCGGTGATTACAGTCACAATTAGTGGCCATAATTTGCAATATTATGGCCTAGTCCATAGTGATAAAGTAAAACGGCCGCCTGTCAATGTGGCAGTCGTACTTAGGTGTCAATCCAAGTTCAATGCTTGACATCTGTTGTCAATGATATATAGATTTTATCGTTTATTGAATTCCATGAAATTTTCATTTTTAAGGGTTGTTGCAGTCGTACATAAAGCTTTGTATATATCGCGTCCATAAATAGGCTTTATGGGGACTCGCCTTGTTTATCTGTGCCTCGCTCGCAAGCTCGCTCGGCTAAACAAACGGCTCGTCCATAAAGACCCAGTTTATGTACTTTATATAAATAGCTATTATTTAGAATTAATCGTTACATTGTTTAAACCTAGGATAGGCCAAATTAACTGGTCAGCAGAAATAGTTTTAGTTAAGTTAAAGCATTATGTTTGTGCATTTTTTGAGTGCTTGTAGGAATTTCTTTGAATTTTGTGTTTACTCATAATAAATGTATTCTATGTGAGATACTTTTTGTAATTTTAAGAGCAGTACAAAAGGAGCAACCCTGTGAGTAACAAGATTTTTTCAAAGATACGGAAGTTGCATAATCTCCCCAAATATGCTGTGGTACTCAAATGTCTACATATTCTTAATCCATTTTTACCTGCGCTAGCCTGGAAAGTAAAAGTAAAGAAAGTAAAGAAAACGAAGAAAAGTGTGAGCAGAATTTTATAGATCGAACCACCTTACGAACCTGAGATAATTGAACTTTTGCAAAAGTGCAAATTGGCACCCAACCGCAGGGCCGGACTAAAGAAATGTAACCCCTCATTACAATGGTAATTTAAAAACGAAAAATTTTTTTTACGAAATGATTTCGGCACAGTCCGGAACAAGACAGTGCAAAGAATCTCGGGACATTTGAAAAATGAGGTAACTTGAGAACACATGTTGGCACAAATCTGGTAAAAAAAGTTAGTAATATGTACTACTAAAGAATTCGATAATTGGAGAACCTCAAATTTTACTAACAACCAGATTACTGTTGGGCACGTCGGCACAAATCCGACACAAAACTATGCGCATAGCCCCGTGTTTATAGTGTCGCGCATATACTGCTAATTTCACGAATCCTTATAACGTATGAAATTGAAGCCCCAATCTAAAAATTTGAATAAATCGAAAATGATAGGAGCACAAAATATGCATACACATTAAAAATCGAATGAAATGAGCCTCTTAACAATCCTCAATTTCCGTTTTGCAAGGCCCTCATTCCAGGTTAGCATTGGGAATGAGTAAATGTATATTGAAATTTTCTCTGTTTTGTATGTTTCTAGTCAGATTTTATATTACACATAACACGCTAGTGAAAACCGTTTTCTGGAATAAACAATCGTAAGATACGAGCATAAAATGGTAACGGAAAGTTTCTTTTTTATATTCATTACGTATCAACTATGTATATCTATCATAATCAAAATAATGAAATAAATACCTGTATTCTATCTTCGGGAAGGTCCGTCTTGAGACTAAGCATTTCTCTGGCATACACGTCCGGATAGTGTGCGTCCTTGAAGGCCTTTTCCAGTTCCTCCAGTTGATAGCTCGTGAAAATCGTCCTGCCACACACCCACCAAGGGTAGATTTATTTGGAACAAAACTAACACTTCTTTACAAATTTCAATCACAAAACACTAACAACCGTGAGATTAATTTGATTCGTAGCATCAGAGTGATTTTAATATGACTGGAATAAGTACTCACCTATGGCGTCGTTTTTTCTTTTTCTTTTTACTAAAATTACCCAATCCGTCTACCGTAAAGTCTTTACTTCCGTCAATTTGACCTGAAACAAAATAAGAATTCTGTTTAGTAAGAGTCGTCGTTGTGACGCATGGTAGATTGTAATATACACATTTCCTAAATAAATTTTTGATCATGGCGTGAGGTGTTTATAGGGGGGTTTGAGGGCCCCCCAGAGAGTAGGGCGGGAGCCCTTCTAAAACCGACTGCACTTCACTTGGGCATAATTGAATTTTCAAACCGGTAGCTTATTGGGCAGGAGATTGCTCGAGGATCTCTCTGCTGATTAGGTATTTTATTTCATTTGCAGGATTACAACATATGGGCAATTTTAAAGTTCGATGAGCTTTCAATTTATTTTCTTCGAATTTCTAAAGTCACATAACACGATTATCTCATTGTGCGATCGAAATTACGAAACAAATTGCTTATTTGTTTAAAAATGGATGTAAGTAATCGAAGTTGCTCTATAAAATTCTTAATGGAAGCGTGCAGTAATATACAGCAAATTACGTTCTGTGGAATCTGCTTAAGTTGTTTAAGCAGGTCGTAAGTGTTTATTCCGAGTAAACTTATTAACTACTTTAGTCCACTATGGGATGAAAGGGTAAGTACCGAATAAAACTGGGCAGGGGCAATCAACGGTACTGTCGTCCATAAATCCTGCTAATGGCCCTCTGGTATTTCATAAGTCAGCTACTCTGTCCCGGCCACGAACCTAACCCTTATCTTGTAGTTGCGGTGAAATTAAAGTAAAAAAGTCATTTGCTGTAACGCGTTAGCGTTTGAATACGTTTCTCAGTCGCACCTACGAGTGACGATTTTTCCATTCGTACGAGCAACGCGAAAATTCATTAAAAACACGCGCGTCGATATTGACAATAAAAGGTGGGTGTCCGCCGCTTTAAATGAAAATGAATTGAACTAAAACAGAGCCGGTATTGCGTGCCAACCAGTATGTTAAATGAATTAAGATGGCGCGCTAAAGCTATTTAGGGCATTTAGGGCGAGGGATTTTATATACTCACTCTGACTTCGAAATTAACTGACTAGCTCTGGAATTTCCAATAAAGAATACCGCAAACACCAGCCAGATATTGAAAATTGGAAACTTTATTGTGCATGTGACGTTCATTTATAAGAGCTTTTCGCCTTTTTTTCGCCAATAGCTCTTGCCAACAGTTGGATTTACAAAAAAATAATTCACTGCCTTATAATTCAGCAACGCAATTTTCGGGAGGTGATTATATTGCGAGGATAGGACCGCATTCCTCGCTGGCCTTACCTAAGACGTCCTGTACGTCTTCAATAAGTGTACCGTGTGTATCAATTCCAATAAATCCTTTGTACATCTATTGCAGTTCAATAAGGAAGACTTGATGTACATTTTTCGGTTTTATTTTTCTTAAATTCTTCGTTAAATGGGAAAATAAACATCATTTTTATAGATGTACATTCATAACCCACTGCTCATGTGTATTTTATTTACTCATGCGATAGTTAATTCTGTATATGTTTTTTTTTTCAAGCCGCACTAACCTTAGACAGTTGAACATAACACAACGTTTTAAGTTCAAATTAATAACCCGTTACAACTCAAATGAGATTACATTACTTACGTAAGAGGTTTTATCGGAATCTCAAGTTTTTACTGTCTATACAGGGTGGTGACTTGACGAACGCACCATAGGAATTTTAATAGTAATTTTTTAATTTCGGATTATTGGTTCCCTAATTATTTTGCTACATGCATATTTTGCAGCAGAGAAAAAATTTTAGAACTACTGCTTTACAAGTTCAGCGATTTAAAATAAAAACTGTTGCCTTTATAGTTGTTATGCATTGATTCCATGCCATAAAGTACCCTTCATAACAAAAAGCAGTTTGCTGACCACCTAATACCACTGTATTTGTGACAACATACTAAATTCCTTAACTTGAAGGACTACTGCAATCATGCAATTCCCAAGTAGTTGACAGGATGTGCTTATCTCACCTTGCCTTGCATGTCCAGAGTGCCAGCCGACATCATTACAACCCTGTCCAGTGTCATAATTACTAGTCATTTTTTCACGGTAAGTCGCCAATCTTGTACCTACTAATTTCGGTTATTTACATTCTTTTAGTATTTTAATGTTTTTTCAATGGCTGAACTCAATGGGGATTTACACTTTAATCCTTAGCATTTTCATTTTTAGATTTTTAACTCGAAAAATCAGAAACTGGTCGAGGTATTCAGTTTTCTTTGATCCCATAGAATTTCGAAACACGCTAAATATGTAAAAACATGTAGTGTAGGTAAGTTTTAATCTCGTTTTATATTTTGTCTTTGGAGATGTTAATGATAAAAAAGTTTTTCTTTTGTAGTTAGGTAAACAGTAAGTGATTTAATAAATGTGTATTTAAAAAAAAAGTGATTTGTTTTAATTGACATCACCAAAACGCGTGGACGATGCAGACAGAGCGGAAAATTTATTGTTCCAACCAGGATTCATAGTTAATCCAACTAATCATTTGAGACAATTTATGAGTTTCCAGCATAAATGGTATGTTACTACAACAAAGATAAAAAAGGACAAATTAGGAGGTCCAGCAAATACTCGTTAGTTTATATAACAATACCGCTCTGCTGCTGCGACTAAGCATTACTTGTTACAGGGACAAATTTTTTTGCAAGCTTATTTAGTTCCTCAAACAAAAATGGTATGCTTTCTTAACTAACTTGTATAATTTGTCACAAGTAATTGTTTTAGCTACTGGAACAAATTTACTTCCAACATTAATTTTGTTGAGGCTATAGCTACAGTAACTAATTGTTAGTTGCGTTTAGTAATTTTTTAATTTCGGATTATTGGTTTCCCTAATTATTTTAGAAATAAAGTCTATTTAAGATTTTTGTATAGAAAAAATTACGAATCCGTACATACTAGTTTTTCCTAATGTTATAAATTCAGAAACAGTTAAAATTTAAAAATTAAAAACTGTCGCCTTTATAAAGTCCGTAATGCCATGGAATTATGAAATAAAACAAAAGCGCCTGCATTTGCCATTAGTTATACCTTTGTTTTATCTCAAACTGCCATTACCACAAAATTAAACAAGTTAGCGCCACAACTCGTTTATTCGCTTGTCATTATTTCGTCGGCGATCGTACATAATAAAGAGGACCTATGTCGTTTTTCAAGATAATGCCCAATGAGTTCACGGGTAAACAGAATAGTGCCTAAAAGGGGTTGTTGGTCCGCAGAAGATTTAGTTAAGTGAAATAAGCAAAAAAGTCCAGCAAACGCGTTCGACATTCTAAAAACAACTTTCATGGAGAGCGTTGCATCTAGTCATCTATTAAAACCGATGTTTGGGCCCTAGCAGTGTACTTGGTACAGAATCAGAAAGAAGCTTGCTATCCACTAGAGAGGAAGTACACATCATGCCCTACAGGAGTATCACGGAAAACTGAGAACCTTCCTCAAGAAGTGACACATCGACCAAGACCCTCCAAAAGGCAACTGGAAGAAACTATTGAAATCCTCTCTCGCTCCCATGACTCACCTGAACCAGGTCATTCCAGAATATAGATGGTGTTGAAGAAGAAGAAACACCTGGAAAGCTATTTCAAGAGCTTTCATCCGTATCCCAGATAACCCCAGCAGCCAACAAAAAAGTTCTCCTCAACGCAACCAAAATCAAACACCTCATCCAAAGACAGAGAAAGGGAAAACTTCCCACAAACAAATTACTGAAAAATGTTTAAAAGATCTCTACTTGAATTACCCTAATCAACAGAATTATTCAGTTACTTTTCAATTTTTTCTTTTTCTCTGGAGGCTGTCTGTTTCTTGGGATGCTTCAGATTCTTCAAATCCTTCAGTTTCTTCCGGTTCTTCTTTTTTTTTCTGAATTTTTCCGGTGTATCACATTCGTCAATTTCGATTTTTCAGACTTTCGAGTCCTTCTTGAGACACCTTTCTCATTTCTGATTCCCTAGTGTCCTATGCTTCGAATTCTTGGTTTATCATTTTTTTTTCGACGCTTGGGATCCCTTATACTCTTTCAGTTCTTTGGAATTCTCCCCATTCGTAAGTTACAGATTCTTTAATTTTTTTCAATTTTTCCATTCATCATTAGAATCTACAGATTCTTAATATTCTCTTAACTTTGTCCATTTCCTCGAATTTTCATTTTTCGGATTCTTTAAATTCCTCAACATTTTAGAATTCTTTAACTTATTCGCACCCTTCGAATACAACGGATGCTTTAGATTTATCAGATTGCTCTGATCCTTCAGAACCGCCTGGATTCGTCTTTTTTATCTATCCAAATCTCTTTTCACATTTTTCTTTTCTACGGATACTTGTTATATATTGATCTTTACATTCTTGGAAGTTTTTAATTTCTCTAATTATTTTAATTCATAAATAATTTTTTTTGTGTACATTAGATCCTTCCGATTCTTCAGTTTGTCATATTTGTCCATTTTTTAAATATTTTTTTAAATTCTGCAAATATTTCCGTTTCTTCATTCCTTAGATATGTGCTTCAGCCCTTCGAAATCCAATTTTTTTACATTTATTCAGTTTCATACGATTCCTTCCATTTTTTCTTTGAATTCGTCAGATTCATAAGTCTCTTCAGATTCTTAGTATCCTTCCAATTCCGAAACACTTAACACAACAAAAGGTACCACGCACTGTCTAAAATCGCTTCTTGTAACGGGCTTGTTAGGTACATTTACAGGGGTCAAAAACCCCTCTCGTAAAAATAAATCTTATTTTCTACGGCACTCGCAAAAACTTTGTTGTAACAATTAATTTTTGGAAAGCAATCATAAATGCCCACGGATAGCTCAGTAAGGAACAAATATCTTCACTTATAATTTAAAAATTAAAACGTGCTGCTCTAGTTTGACCGTTCTCAGATAAGTACTCTTATAAAGTGAATTGTTTGAATATATTGTTGAAAATAATATTATTCCATCTTCAGTTTTCGTTCCATCTTTTGTAAATTAAAAGATTGGTCTACTTAATGTAATAAACACAAGAAAAAAATGTATATGGTGGTCATGGTTCCACCCTAATTAAAAATAAGGTTTACCTGGTACCAATTCCCACACAGAAGTCTGGCATTACTGAACATGAAATTCTAATTTTGCAATTAATATGAGAAAAAGAAGCAATTACCAGTACATTTTGTAACTTTTCTCAAGTTCTCAGTTGGATTTCTCTTTGTGAAATAACACCGCAAATTAGAAAGTCGGGTAATGGAACACCTTAGGGAATATGATCGGACTTCTTGTATTACATGCTGAATTGGGTTACTTGTTGAATCATTTCGAAAGATGGTTGGCGTAATTTGATTCAGGAACAATCCATGCTTTAAGCTTCCTTTGGTTTAATTACTTGAATTGCGAGCTATTCACGGTAATAAATTGCCGATGTTACGCAGTGTATACATTTCAAAAATGTACCCTTGTAACTTAGGGTTTTACCAGCTACCGAAAGCACAAGTTAATTGTCTTTAACCTTTTTACCGGTTGCCGTTTTATGAGCACCTCGTATAAACAAATTATTTGCACCTTAGACCCCAACGCTTTGGTGGTAGCCACTACCCCGAGAACAATAATCCAATAATGCACCGAAAGAAGGTTTGCTTACGTATTAAAACGATAACGCCTCGCAATATATTTACAGTAAAAATTAAATCTACCAGTCAATCGCCTCCGTCACGCAATTAAGTTCTCTTACTGCATAAATTAGTAACGTAACCGTGACATACACGAACACAAAACGAGAGCTACAAGTAACCTCAAGATACCGTTTGCAAGAACGAATATTAACAAAGCCAGCCCACATATAATAGGGGCAAAAATGTTCAATAAACTCCCGTCCAAAATCAAGAACGCGCCGAAACTGTATACCTTCACACGGCAACTCAAAATCTTCCTGTTGGCAAATGTTAAATGTGAAATGTTTGTCTTTTGTGTTTAATTGACTTGTCCTATACACTTTGTTTGTCTTACAGGATGAATATATATTTATTATTATTATTATAAATCAGTCACGTAGTACTAATTTACTTATAATGGCAACTCGTAACAAATTTTACGCGATCTTCAAGATGGCGTACACAAATTACAATATTCACCTTCACAGCTTGGCGCTCAGGATACGTAAATTTGCACCAAAGCTTCAGATAAGAAATCAATACGTGATCGAAAAAATATAGCGCTCGACCGGTATAGATTCTCTTCGAAGATTTCAGTAAGAAAGCCGCTTTCCCACCAAATTTTTCATTTTCCGATTGAAAGTTATGAGATGAAACCACCGCAACCGAAGCGTTCACTCGGTTTTTTACACATAGGTAAGATAGCGGAAATAATCCCCCTCATGTGTCTGTCGCCGCGGTTTCTAGATCCGGCAACACTGTAACGTTTCGAGTCTTATCTGCTTGAACACTCCCCCATACCTTAACACGCTTAGTTGTAAGAAAATGAGGTTTCATTTACAGAAAAGCTTAAAACTAAGCTCTTTACTTTTCAAATTTATAAGAAAAGTGGCATAAGTAGATACCTAAATTTCTCTAGGATTGCATCACCAAAATTATGCGTTTTGTGAGTCAAGATTAAGTTTATTTTAAACAATTAAATCCAAAACTCATTTATGGGTTTAACAAAAGCGACTAGAATAAAAGGAAAACCTCGAAAACCGTAGTTTGAAGATGCTATAATCGAGATGTGTTGCACAGAAAGGCATAGGTAAGTTGAAACTCACGAAAAGCAAAGCTGAACTTCACCCTGTGTTTTTTTAATAATAGGGATGATAAGTTTAATATTTGCCTAAGTTAAAGTGTAAACTATGCAAACCCATTTTTCTGCCACCGTCACCTGTAACTTTCTTGACCAAGTGGAATGGAACAGGACCGCGTGTAAAATTGAATTAGATCTACCAAGAGCTTCCCCGTATACTGCAAGGAATCTTTTGGAACGGTGATTCTGATGAAACTTCTCGAGTAGATGTAATTAGCCGATGAAAA